TACCGGGGATTGAACTCGGGTCCTTGTGCTTGCAAGGCAGGCTGCCGAACCGCTGAGCTAAATCCCTGGCCCTGAATAGTTTTAGTTTTGAACATGTCAGTACCCTACTCTGACCACAATTTCCAATTCTTCCATTCACCCTTTTGTCACATGCCCCTTATTCCCTTTCTTTCACTTTAACGAGGTGTCCAGCTCCTTGATTTCTCCTTGTTTTCCTTTCAGATTATATTCTTTCCCCACTCACCAGTGAAGTGCTCTCACTAGCTCAGCTCATTATACCTCTTCCATCCCTTGTGCCGATATCTACAGACCCTCAATGTGGGGTCAGTCTTAACAGTTTGACTTTCCACGGCCTTACCTTAGTCCAGTTGGGCATTCACGTCTATGTGTCTGTCTCTGGACCCTGCTCAAACACATTTCCCCATTTCTCTCTGTGTCTCCTTTGACTCCCTGTAGGCCCCTTCCCTGTTGACCTCCCTGCAGCTCCAAAAATCTTAGGAAGCGTACTTTTATTTAGGAAAACCTGATGCTCTACACTCATTTCATCTTTCCAGGATTCTGCATTATTAGTTCTCACCTCCGTATCCTTGATATCTGCATTTAAACCAGTTCCTTCTCTTCAACTTGTGAACATTTTTAAGTATCTTTTATTTTAAATAAGTCTATTTACTCTTTTTCTTACTATTACATCATTGGCCAAACTTCTGCCATATGTACCAAATTTCTCACTGAATTCAGTCTGCTTTTTTTACCTTTCTTATTCTAAGTGTTGCTACAGTCCACGGACACTTCCTGGTACTGATTTTTCATCTTAGAAGCACTGACCCTAGTGCCCATTCTCTACGCTTATGGATCCCTTGACTTTGGTGACCAGCATTTCATTCTTGATCTGCCAGCCCCTCTGCCCTACACAGCACACGAATGTTGGTATTCCTCAGGGGTCTGTTTTCTGCTCTGTCTACTTTTCAGTCTATCCCTTCTTTCTGAATCCATTCTTAAAATTAAGGCAAACTTTAGACTCAGAGATCAGAAAGTGAATTGAATTTCATTTATCAGAATTTAATGGGTTCTTGTTTTCCAAATACAGATTCTTAAAAGTGCCAATTTAAAATATATTTAAATACCCCCCCACACAGAGTTTATAGTGTTGCTTTCAAACTTTATGTTCTAATGAATCTCTAGATATATTTGAAGATTTGTCCACAGTAAGTTCGATTTCCCATATCTAAAATCAAATATAAATAGTGTTCTGTCCGTGTCAAAGAAGCTCTTCTTGTAGTCTTTATTTTGGTTAATGAATAACTACTTACCCTGTCTCTCTGGTTACCAAACCCATTGGTCCTTTTACTTTTATTCCATTAATTTTTGACAGCACACAAAAGTATTCAGTGGGCTCATAACAGATATAATTATCACATAGTTGCTACACGATTAGTTGATTTCACTCCTATTCAAGTATATTTTGCTTCTGGAACTTGGAAATTTTGACAGAAAGACACAAGTATTTGAATATAAAATTATATTCAATTTATA